GAAAGAAGTTGGCAGCATGAGCTTTCCTAGACTTAAGTCTCCTTCCTTTCCAAATTCATCTGAGGAAGTAGACTTAGGTCTACAAAAACTCATGCTGCCAACTTCTCTTTCTTTCAGTTCTCAAAGATGCTACAGGATCTCTCCGCATACTGATTCTACAGACTAACATGGCTATAGCTTTGAATTCATAAACATGTGGAGAGTGTACTATCTCCATCATCAGTTTGATGCCATTTCAACTCCCATGGCTTCATCCTACAAAAGCCTGGGATACCTTGATTTGGCCAAGTACTTCCAGTTCTTTGCAGGAGAACTCTAGTGGCAATCCTGTGAACAGAACACTAGAGCTCCCACACAGAGAATCCTGTATACCCCACCAAACTTGAAATCCCAGGATGCTGTAGGATGAAGCCATTATTGTGGAGGAAGAGGTTTCATGCTTTTGTTGTTGTGTGACTCCAAGTCATTTTTTATTCATGGAGACCCTAAAGCAAACCAAGTTTCTTCACAGGGGGTTTGCCATTGCCATCCTCTGAAGCTGAGAGAGTAACTTGCCTAAAGTCCGTGAGTTTTTGTGCTCAAGCAGGGATTCAAACCCTGATCTCCAGAATCCTAGCCCAATGCTCAAACCATTACACCATGCTGGCTCTTAAAATAACCATGCAATGTACTGCTGTAGACATTCTCATAGAGTCTACAGTTGACTTTTCATCTCTCTGTGAGCCAGGCATAGCTCAGTATCTCTCAAAGGAGGAAGGCAATAGAGGAATCAGAAGCAGTGATCACTATTTCTTTTACAGCCAATGCATCCCCAGAGACAGAGAGTAAATGGGTGACGGCAAGGTATGTGGTTGTCAGAAATAAAGCAGAGCTTCTAACTTTCTGGGCTAGAACTCTGGGCAGAATCCCCCCAGCCAGGATGGTCAAACTTCACTTTTCCCCAACTTTAGCTGAGAAAGAGAATGGAGCAGTCTCTCAAGGAAGCTATCTTCTTCTCTGGGCTTGCCTGTGTGATGCCTCTGCTCAGCACAACACAACAGAGGGCCTTTGCAGACTGCCAGAAATAGTGCACATTAAATTGAGGCACTGCCCTGGCTCAGTGCTAGGGAATCATGGGAACTGTAATTTATTGTGGCACCAGAGCTCTCTGACAGAGAAGGCTCAATGTCTCAGAAAAAAATACAATTCCCATGACTCCCTAGCACTGAGCCAGGGCAGTGCCTCAATTTAATGTGCACTATTTCTGGCAGTCTGCAAAGGCCCAGAGTTTCTGGGGACCAGCCACACAGCTTAGCCCAATGCCTGATCAAGTAAGCCAGATGAATAACCTGTGGCTACCCACTATTTGCCTTGTGGTCTACCTGCTCCTGCTGACTTGTCTCCAGTGTCTGTTGGCAGGAGGAAGGAGAACTGGGCTCACTGGGGATGACCCAGAACCAGCAAGCATGAAGAAGAGCAAGGATGCTCCTTGCTTGCTCACTCACCCTGTCTGGGAAATCCCAGTGACCATTCCCATTGCTATTGCCTCAGGCCAGATGAGCAAGTGAGTGGAGCGTCCAGCCTCTGGGTATCTTGGAAGGGATCACAGGCCAAATCCTCTCTACTGTCCTATGAGGAGAAGAAGAAAAAGGGGTCAGCTACTATTTCCTCTACATGAGAGGGGAACCTTTCTACCTTGTTTCTATTATGAGAGGCACAAGAGTTTGGCACTTTTTATTACAAGGAGAGGGCTAAATCCAACTGCTAGTCCCATCAAGAAGCCAGTATGCCCTAATGGTTTGAGAGGTGGACTAGGACTCTGGAAACCAGAGTTCAATTCCCAGCTCAGCCCTTACACCCACTGGGTGACCTTGGGCAAGTCACATGCTCTCATCCTCAGAGGAGGGCAATGTCAAACCTCCCCTGAAGAGATCTTGCCCAGAAAACTCCATGATAAGTTGGAAACGACTTGAAGGCACACAACACTAACAAAGTCCCAGCAAGAGTGGATCTATTGAATTAATAGGAACTTAGTAAACCAACACTTAGGAAACTTTGCTTGCCTTAATGGAGTTGGAACTAACAAGTGCATCTAAGCTTCTGGGGATTCTGGGAGATGCAATCCAAAAGGCTTTACTTTTCCAGTTTCTGGAGTGCCCCAGGGGAATCTGCCATCTCTCCCTTCCTCATTCTTCTCTTGGCCAGGGGGATGGTAGAGAAATGGGCTGTCTGGGGAGCTAAAGTGAAAAATAGAAGCCCCTCTTCTTAGTGTTTGTGCTACCTAGTGTTTCCTTTTCACTTAGCACCTGCAGGATTAGGCCCACAGAAACAGGGATACCCAAAAGCATTGACAGACAGAGACTCTCAGCATTCTTTCCTCAGATCTCTCTACTTGAGGTCTTTGAGAAATACTGAGGTGATGGGAGGAGGCTCCATTACACAGCTCAA